GTCCTGAAACTCTTCCCCTGTGCTTTCTTCTAAGAATTTTATAGTTTTAACTCTTTATGTTAGATCTTTGATCCATTTTAATTCCCCCCCGCCCCCCCGTATGATGTGAGGTAACGTGCAACTTGATTCTTTTGTGTGTAGATATCTAGCTTTCCCAGCACTGTTTATTGAAAAGACTGTCCCTTCCCCATTGAGTGGTCTTTACACGCTTGTGGAAGACCATTTGGCCATATGTGTGAGGATTTTTTTTCTGGGCTGTCTGCTGACTTGCCTTTAACCCACCTATGTTCGTTGTCTCTGAGCTGCCATCATCACTTGCTCCAGAAAACAGACTGCCCGCTTTCTGCTGGGTTGCTTAGAGTAGTTGCAGGATGAAAGAACGAACGGGGGTGGGGAGTGGGGGGAGTCTTTACTGTTTCTTATTCTCCATCTCTTTCTTTTTCTTCTATGTTTGTTTATTTTTTTTTTAATTTTTTTTTCAACGTTTTTATTTATTTTTGGGACAGAGAGAGACAGAGCATGAACGGGGGAGGGGCAGAGAGAGAGGGAGACACAGAATCGGAAACAGGCTCCAGGCTCTGAGCCATCAGCCCAGAGCCTGACGCGGGGCTCGAACTCACAGACCGCGAGATCGTGACCTGGCTGAAGTCGGACGCTTAACCGACTGCGCTACCCAGGCGCCCCTATGTTTGTTTATTTTGAGAGAGAGAGAGAGAGTTTGTGCACAAGCAGGGGAGGAGCAGAGAGAGAGAATCCCAAGCAGGCTCCGCACTGTCAGCACAGAGCCAGCCCACAATTGGGCTCCAACCCATGAACCGTGAGATCATGACTTGAGCCAAAGTCAGACGGTTAACTGACTGAGCCACCCAGGCGCCCCAAACCTGTCTTGTTTTCATACAGCCTCTGGTACCTTTGACTTCAGAGCCACAAAAGTCTAATTCCTGAGGCTTTCTGGAGTTCTGCCAAGGTTCCTTCCTGGTCTGCTTCTTGTTTTATTTCCCCTCTCCTATAGGTTTCAGACTTCGCTCTTTACAGGCTATTAAATCAGTTGTCATTATCCAAACCACGGACTATTCTATGTACTATTATCCATCATTTCTCTGATTGTTTTTGTTCTTCTGGGTTTATTCCCTTTTTTCCTCCCTTCATTACAGAGCAATTTCAGTTGGGAGCCTAAGTGAACACTCTATGTGTTCAGGCTTCCAAAAAGTTTTATATATTTAACTGATTTTTTAAATTTGTGACTATTTGTTGATGCTAATTTTTTTTTAATTTTTTTTTTCAACGTTTTTTATTTATTTTTTTTGGGACAGAGAGAGACAGAGCATGAACGGGCGAGGGGCAGAGAGAGAGGGAGACACAGAATCGGAAACAGGCTCCAGGCTCCGAGCCATCAGCCCAGAGCCTGACGCGGGGCTCGAACTCACGGACTGCGAGATCGTGACCTGGCTGAAGTCGGACGCTTAACCGACTGCGCCACCCAGGCGCCCCGATGCTAATTTTTTTTAACGTTTATTTATTTTTGAGAGAGAGAGAGAGAGAGACAGGGTGCGAGTGGGGGGAGGGCAGAGAGACAGGGAGACAGAATCCGAAGCAGGCTCTAGGCTCCGAGCTGTCAGCACAGAGCCCGATGAGGGGCTTGAACTCCCAAAACGCGAGATTATGACTTGTGCCAAAGACTGACACTTAAGGACTGAGCCACCCAGGCGCCCTAATTCTAAAAGTTATATTGATTCTTTAAAAAATCTGTGTGGTCTTGAGAGCATCTTGGTTTTTTGTGCGTGTTTCCTACTGTTTGGGGGTGGGGGTGATGTCTAGTACTAGCGTATCTTGCCTGCTAACATTTTCTCCTGGTGGATTGTTCCCTTAAATGTTATTTTAGATTGTGTACTCAAAATATTCCCCTAAATAACGACGTAGGGAATCGTGTGCTGTCAGATTGAGGCTGTGTCTCCATAGTGGTTCTGCAGGTTATATAAATTGAAACACTTAACCCAAGCGAAGGCATGCCTCTTTTTACAGAACTTCGTGTTACACTTTTTTTTTTAAGCATCCAGATCCAAACAGACAAGCTTCCCATTAAGCAGATTCCCACCCCTCCTCTGCTAATGGAGGGGAAGAGGAGTGGGGAGAGGGGCATTTACTTCCAAATCTATCTCTGAGTCACAATTAAAACCAAAACCTTTGTATTCCAGTCATTCATTGCATCCTCATTATCACATCTTATTTTTTTTTTTTTAATTTTTTTTTTTTTCCAACGTTTATTTATTTTTGGGACAGAGAGAGACAGAGCATGAACGGGGGAGGGGCAGAGAGAGGGGGAGACACAGAATCGGAAGCAGGCTCCAGGCTCTGAGCCATCAGCCCAGAGCCCGACGCGGGGCTCGAACTCACGGACCGCGAGATCGTGACCTGGCTGAAGTCGGACGCTTAACCGACTGCGCCACCCAGGCGCCCCTCACATCTTATTTTTAATTCCTTCCTTACTTGAGGCCATTAAGGATTTTCCTCATTTTTATTTTTATATGAGCTCAGTTGTGTCGTTAAGGAACACTTAACTTTTTTTTAAAGAACTCACACAGTGCTTACTATGTTTCTGTTGGTCTCCTGAGCGTTTTACAAAGTTACTTAATATTCTTAACAGCCTGGTAAGCTGATATGATTGTCATCCTCATTATTATAGATGACAGAATTTGAGGCACAGAGGTTAAGCTTCTTGCCCAAGATCACACACCTAGTTAAGCATACTCTGTTCTACGTGTCAGCGCGCGTGTGCGTGTGCGTGTGTGTGCGTGCGTCTATCTATTACTGCTTTGGCTGCCCCAGGGTGTTTTTCCCCCCCTCCTAGCTAATGACATGTTCTCAACATAGAGTTGAGAATTAAGAATAGGTGAGGGGCGCCTGGCTGGCTCAGTTGGTTACGCATCTGACTCTTCATTTTGGCTCAGGTCACCATCTCATAGTTTGAGCTTCGCGTTGGGCTGTGTGCTGACAGTGCAGAGCCTGCTTGGGATTCTCTCTCTCCCTATCTCTCCTTCCCTTCCCCCACCTGCATATTTGCTGTCTCTCTCCCTCTCTCTCAAAATAAATAAATAAACATTAAAAAAATTTTTTTAAAGAATAGCTGAAAATAATTGCTTATGTTTAGAGATCCAGAAAGCCACTGTTTGCTATTCATTATTTCTTACTGAAATAATGCCGCCTTTGCTTTGCTCTCCTGGGATTCTTGCTCGAGAACGATGTGTGCTGTGTCAGTTTGGAACTGATGTGTAGGCTGAAGACATTACATGAAAATTGACATTACCACTATCACATTCTGTTCAATACATCTAAAATTCAAAATGTACCATTTCTAACTCCAGACTTCACGTCTAACAGAATGTATAAAATAGAGCAAAGATAAATGCTCTAAGGGATTTTGGTGGTTAATTAATCCTCTCCTTTGGTAGTGGTTTCACACTCTAAAGCCCTGCCCCTTTATAAAATTAGAACAGGTGGGGACTGTACCATTCTTCTGTAACTGGTAGCCTGGTAATTGCTCAGGGGGAGGGGCTGGGATGTGAAGAGCCTCCTGATGGCTGGTCCTGGCACGGTCCTCAGGTAGATTAATTTGAGAAAAGGTCTCTTGTGCAGGGTGAAGATCTGGAAATTGATTTTTATTAAAAACTCGTTGTAATGTATGCTGTAGAAAGTCTGAGTTACTTGCATTCCACATTACATGAATGTGTGCCCTGTTCCCGTCTGAAGACTGCTCTTCTACAGAATTTCATTTCTCACATGTGTACTTCAGGCTGATGGTGAATGAATGCTTGGGGATTGTTTAAAGTCTAGTGCAGATAGAGGAAAAGTCGACCTCTTTCTGACACCTTGTGGCAGCAGCTGAACACTGCAAACACAGCTGGTTTGATGTATAATCTCATCCCATTTCCAGAGCTCTTCATCTTAAATAAAGTGTCCACTCTCTTTTTTTCCTTTAAATGTGAGCTGATCTGTTTAAAAGGAACATAAAATACCCATTGTGTGGAAATTCTCTGCATATTGAAATTTTCCAGCCTCGGCCTTTCAAAGCTGCTTGTACATTTTTATACATTTGATATCTGTATTTCTAAGGAATTTTGGAGAATCCTCTGTAGCATGAGGTTGATTGGTGTAGTCTTCTATACTGTATTACTGTGAATAAAATCAGACCTAAAATCCTTGGAAATCAGTAACGTTTGTTTCACTTGAACTTCTTTTGACATTCTGTAAAAATGGTTGATAAATGTATATTACTCCACTCCTGCAGTTTTAACTGTAATGAACTTGGAGTAAATAATAAGGTATCAAGTATTGATTTTCCAAAAGACCACTAGAAAAGCCTGTTGATTAATATGTGAAGTTTATTTAAAAAATTTTTTTTATTACATTTATTTATTTTTGAGAGACAGAGTGAGACAGAGCACAAGTGAGGTAGGGGCAGAGAGAGAAGGAAACACAGAATCCAAAGCAGCCTCCAGGCTCTGAGCAAGCGTTCAGCACAGAGCTGGATGCAGGGCTCGAACCCACGAACCATGGGATCATGACCTGAGCCGAAGTCAGACACTTAACCGACTGAGCCACCCAGGTGCCCCTGTGAAGTTAAGTTTATTAAGCCTAACGCACTCAGGAGAAAACACCCCATTGGCAAGATCTTAGTTGTGTTTTCACAGTAATTTTGAGGTAAGTCTTTTAAGGGGGGTAACTTTCTGATTGGGCAGTTTATGATATCATAGCTTTGGAATGGTGGACCCGAGGAGGCAAGAGTTTTGAGGCAAGTCTTGATGAGGGAACTATTTAGTAGTTTCACACAGCCTTCCAAGAATCTTATTTCTCGGTTACATCTTCCACGTATATCCTGAAGCAAGCAGCTATAAGTTTTACTTGGTCCCAGAATTGTTTAATACAGGGACAGAAAATTATATTGGTTTCTGTCTCAAAAGTAAGACTTGAATTAATTTACATGAATCATTGGTTTGTTTCAGCTTTGCCCGAAGTTTTTACATACAAATTCTACTAGTCACACTTGGCCATTCAGTGCAGTTGCTGAATTAATAGGTATGTAAAATTGACATTTCATGTATAATCTGTTGCTTGTAAGTGAAGTTTTAAAAAACTTTTCATTGCAAAATAATATGCAAATGTGCTGTTTAATAAAACAGATGGATCTTGAATGATAACCATTGGTAAAGGTTATCTAGTATAACAGCTATTCAGATCAATGTCAAATTAATTGTTCCTCAACTTTCCCTGTATTAGTATTAAAATATTTTGCCAAATTCATAAAACATGTTGAAAGTAGTATAATTATGATTATAAAAGACATTGATCTATTGCAAAAATGGGAATTGTGGTTTTTAATCGTTGGAAATATGTGTAACGATGGATTTTTCTGATGTTAGCAAGTAGGGGGATTAATGTTACATTTGATTTGTGATAATAAGTTATTGTTTCCTCCAATAGAATGATTGGGTATAGAATTGTATTTTAATAGTGTTTTAATGAGCAGGAGAAAAGAGGTACGACTGGGATCACATTTGCATGATGGGTCATGATTTTTTCCTCTGGAAGATTCATGCAGGAGAGTGTCTTTCCTGAAGTGGCTGATTAAAAAGATTATTTTATTTTAATTGTAGGCTCCCTTATGGAAGGATAGTTTGAGAACCATTATTTGTGTTTAGTCCTAAAGATTTCAAAATACCTCAGAAAGTAATTTTAGTCAGGGATATTCTGGTGGAACTTCGTTTGAAAGCTGATGTTATTACTGCTTCTGTTGACATTTTTTTTCACCTTTCTTTCCTTTTCTTTCTTTCTTTCCTTTTCTTTCTTTCTTTCTTTCTTTCTTTCTTTCTTTCTTTCTTTCTTTCCTTCTTTCATTCATTCATTTTCCTTCCTCCTTCCCTATTCTGAGACAAACAAGAGTGTTTGCTAAACAAGAGTGTTAAGTGAGGATCTGTACAGAGATCATAGAAATATAAAAGCCACCAGAAACTTTGGTTAGATTGAGAGGGCCACAATTTGAACAACGGTGTAGAAGGTAAACCTTCATCTGTGTGTCCAGTTTACCAGAAAACATCACTGCTTTCTAATTTATTCAGTAACTCGTGGCATTCCCTCCGCCTCAACGTGTAGTGCTACTCAGCTCTCAGTTTCTCACTCGATAGCCGGGCTGGTTCTTCGGACAGAAGAGACCTTCCTGTCTTGATCATTGATTTGGCGCAGTGATTCTTCTCGTTTGTACTTTTTCAGTACAGTTGGTACCAATCTTTGTTCTCTGTGTAACCAATGGAGGGCTTTGGAGAGAGTTAACTCTGTATTGATCGGTGAATGAATCACGTACAGCAAGGTACGGTTTAGGGTCGTGTTTTCAAGTCTTAGGAGTTCCCTAAGCATTGCGGTTTTTAAAAATTTTGAAAAACAGATTGCCTGTTAAAGGCTTTTACTGAACTGATTGTTCTTTCAAAATGCAAAGTTAGAGTTTCTCAAAACTTTTGTTTCTCAGACAATGCTTACGATCCCGATGTGAACGCTAAACAGATATGGATTGACAAAACGGTGATAAATGACCATATATGCTTGACATTCACTGATAATGGGAATGGTATGACTTCAGATAAATTACACAAAATGCTAAGGTATGTCAGAGTGTCACATTTCTTGAAAACCTTGCTTTTACCCAGGGGTTTCCGGTGTCATACTTAATCGCCTGTAGTTTTTGTTATTTAAACACATGTGGTACCCACAGTGCCCTGTGTGTTCTCAAGTCTTCCCATCATCTTCTGCTGATTATTAGACAAGCCCTACCATCCTCCCCCTCCCCCACCACGTCTGACTTACCTAAAATTCCACCATTCCTTTAGAGTGGTAACACTGATGGCAGTTATTTACAGTCTAGCGTTAATTAGTTTTAGCCAGTATTGCCAATAAAATGCCACTTTTGGTGGGGAGTAATTTTAAAGGGATTCAGAGTGTAAGGAAGCAAGATAAAATAGTCACAAAGCTTTGGGCTCTAGGGTCGTAGAATAGGATGTCAGTATGCAGCCATATGTGCCTGAAAGGGAAACTGAGGTACGTAGTCCAGGTATACAGAGTAGAGAAACGTGGCAGCCAAGCCCTTTCCGCTGTCTCTCAAATACATGTTGCGTTGCCAGAAACTCCACTTGGCGCCGTTAGTAATCATACCGCAGTGGGCTTGCCTCAGATTCAGAAAATCGTTCACATTTAGACATATCTAAAATACCGTGGGGTGAAATCTCAAGGGTCCCAGGAGCCCACCTGAGAACTCAGCCGTTGGGACAGGGTGTGCCAGGCAAGGAGCTCCTCCTGGTTCAGCATGTGTCACCCTTATGCCCTGCAGCGTGGGTTTAGTTTTCTTCTTTTCAAAGATGGGGAAACACCTCAAAATGCAACTAGAAAGGCTGAATCTAACATTTACACCCAGGTTTTTTACTTGATGTTACAGGTTTTGAATTAAGAAAATGAAGATTATACGTACTTATTTTAAAAATCCTTTTTGTTTTCTTTTTAGCTTTGGCTTCAGTGACAAAGTCACCATGAATGGTCACGTCCCAGTTGGCTTGTATGGGAATGGCTTCAAGTCAGGTTCTATGCGTTTGGGTAAAGATGCAATTGTATTTACCAAAAACGGAGAAAGCATGAGTGTGGGCTTCTTGTCTCAGACCTACTTGGAAGTCATAAAAGCAGAACATGTTGTTGTCCCAATTGTGGCATTCAACAAACACCATATCCTTTTGATTTTGAAATGGAAACTGTGGAGAAACTCTGAAGAAATATTGTGAACCATTCCCTCCTTTTGCCCTCCTCTCGATTCTCATTTTTCAATCACAGTGTGCATTGTAGCTCTTGTTCCAGTCCATTGCCTCTTAACATCTGAGGCAGCCCTTTGTCCCTTTCTCTCTTCTGTTGGAATTGTGCCTTAGAAACCCCTAACGCAAGGTGGCTGTGTTCTGTGTGCAGCTTCCTGTAGCTCTCCTTTGTATTTCAGTTGTATCGTGTCTAATAAGATGTGTGGTCTGCCTTGGAATTTCCCCTAATGACCGTGAGAAGCAAGATATCTTTAGGAAAATGTCCTCTGTGTCTTTATAAAACACATTCATATATTAGGAACTATGAAATTAGGAATCATAATAAACTTGCTTCTACTTCATCTTTCTTGGTGTTCATCTGAAATCAGACTGTAGTTTCAAAACTTAGATATTAATTTAGGAAATAGTTTTTTGTTGTTACCGAAATTTGAGTTTGCATACTTCAATTGTGAAAAATACGTTGTTGTTCTAAGTCTTTAACTTAGGATATACGACAGATGATAAATTTAGCAGAATCCAAAGCAAGCCTTGCAGCAATTCTGGAACATTCTCTGTTTTCTACGGAACAGAAATTACTGGCAGAACTTGATGCTATTATGGGTAAGAAGGGGACAAGGATCATCATTTGGAACCTTAGAAGGTAAATATCGACCTGAACCAGTGATTACGTGTGTGGGAGGTGAACTGTTTGTGCAAAAATAGTTGTGTTCTATTGATCCGTGGTCGTACAGAATAGAAATACTTGGGAAGGTACTCATTTTTTGGCATAGGTCATGATTTGTCTTTTCCATGGGTGTTTTATTGAGGCCACTTTGGCTTCAACTCGAGGTAATTTCATATTATTAAAACTAAATTTCCTAGCCCTGCATATTCAGTATCCAGAGAGGCCAATTCTCACTTTCTGTTATTCTGTCCCTCTCCTCAAAAAGAAACAAACAAAAGAAATGGGAAGATAATATCTCACCTGACGAGCCCTGACCTGCGTAAGTTAGGTAGAGAAGTCTTTGTCCGTGACTTAAAGTTAAGCGTGACTTAACATCTGGTGACAAAAGTAATGTGGATGAGGACTCTGGATTGTTAAGGTTTTGTATCCTTGTGAGGATAAAATCACTTGCAAATAAGATTTTTTTAAAACTTTGGATGAATGTGTTAATGTTGATACCTAGACACATAGAATGATATGAATAAAGCACAAATTGAGTGGTAAGCCTAAAATACTTTCACTTTAAATCTTTTCTGATCTCCCTTATTCCCCTTTTTCTTGCTTTTTCTTTCATGCCCCTCCCATCCTTACTCCCCTCTTTTTTTTTTATTTACACTTTTTATTTTGAGATACTTGTACATTCCTGTGCATAAATAATGGACCTCGTGTACCCTTCATCCAGTTTCCCCCAGTGGCGGCATCTTGCAAAACTGTAGTGCAGTAGTGTTGATAATGACATTGGTAGAGTCAAGATATGGGACATTTTCATCACCACAGTGATTTCTCATGGTGGCCTTTTGTATCCACACCCACTCCCTCCTTCCTCCCTGACAACCTCTAACACGTCTTCCATTTCTGTAACTTTGTCATTTTGAGAATGTCATATGAATAGAATCCTACAGTGTGAAACCTTTTGGGATTGGCTTTTTTCATTCATCATATTTCTCTGGAGATGCATCTGGGTTCTTGTGTGTGTCAGTAATTTGCTCCCTTTTCCTTGCTGAGTAGTGTTGTACTGTATACGTGGACCACTGTGTTTAACCATTCACTAGTTAGAGCACATCTGGATTTTTACCATTTTGGGTTATTACAAATACAGCTGTAAACATTTATGCACAGGTTTTCCTGGAATGTAATCTTCCTTTTTCCAAGGTAAATGCTCAGGAGTGTAATTGCTGGCTCATACGGTAGTTGCCTGTTTAGTTTTTTAAGAAACTGCCAGAATGTTTTTGGAGTGGCTCTACCATTTGACATTCCCACTAGCAGTGTGAGAGTGAATACAGTTTTTCTGCCTCTTTCTGGATTCCCGTTCTTTCATTTTTCCCTTGCTTTTGTCTCCCTCCCCCCCACCCCCCAACCAGGACATCTACCGTGGGTAGGTGTTTTGTTTTGTTAGCAGTGTATTTGCTTATCTTGCCGTGAAGGTAAAATTTACCTCCTTCAAAAAAATTTTTTTATAGCTACAAAAGCGCAACAGAGTTTGATTTTGATAAGGATAAATATGACATCAGAATTCCTGAAGATTTGGATGAGACAACAGGGAAGAAGGGGTACAAGAAACAAGAAAGGATGGACCAAATTGCCCCTGAGAGTGACTATTCCCTGAGGGTATGTATTCAACTCTTTCTGGACATGGGAAAATCAGCAAATGATGGAAATTACATTTTCTGCTTATGTTATAAATGCTGTCAGTGAAAAGTATCTCAGAACCAATTTATTTAACTTTTCATGAGCGCATTGGTGGTTGTATTTGGCTCAGAAAATGGTTTTTTAACTGCAAAGTCATCAGGTCTAATAGCACTTGTAGTTCTTTCACTGTGTGGTTACATTATTTGAATTAGGAATCCTAGAATCAGTATGTCCTATGATAGCCATAGTGATTGATTCAATCAAAAATACCAATTGTTTTTTAATATATATAATATATATATAATATATATATAATATATATTATATATATTATATATACATATATGTATTATACATATATGTATATATACAATATATATGTATATATATGTATATATACATATATGTTATACATATATGTATATGTATATTATATACACACATATATATACATATATATGTATATATACATATATATGCATATGTATATTATATATACATATACGTATAATATATATAATATATATATATAATGTATCCTGTATTTATAGACTACAGATCCTATGTATTAATACAGTTTTGTGATAAATACCTTTGACATTAGACCTAGAAATGAATATGTTTTTAAGATTGAAGAAATTAATAATCAAATAACAGTAGGATATAAAAAGAATTTTTTTTTATTCACTGTGATAAGACATATAATACTGACTTTTCCCTTTACCTTTTGTGCTGAGATTATTCCATAACCCCAAGCTGAGGATACATTTGACATTTACAGGTTTACCATGTAACTTTTGGAGATCTTAACAGTTACAATGTAAGATATTTAAGTATTCCTTGATATACCCCAAAACATTATTGAAGTATGAAAATCTTGCTCACTTATGAAACAGGTCCAGAGGCAGTCAGAGTAGATGGTGTGGCTCAGGTCATGATCTCAAGGTCATGGGATCTAAGCCCTGTGTTGGCGCAGAGCCTGCTTGGGATTCTCTTTCTTCCTCTCCCTCTCCCTTTCCTTCTCCCTCTCCCTTTCCTTCTCCTCTCCCTTTCTTCCCTCTCCCACTTGCGAGTTCTCTCTCTCTTAAAAAAAAAAAAAAAAAAAAAGAGGAGCCTGGGTGGCGCAGTCGAGGTTAAGCGTCCGACTTCAGCCAGATCAGCGATCTCATGTCCGTGAGTTCGGAGCCCCAGCGTCGGGCTCTGGGCTGATGGCCGGGCCTGGAGCCTGTTTCAGATTCTGTGTCTCCCTCTCTCTCTGCCCCTCCTCCGTTCATGCTCTGTCTCTCTCTGTCCCAAAAAAAAAAAAAAAAAGTTGAAAAAAAAAAAAAAAATTGAAAATGGGTGCCTGGCTGGTTCAGTTGGAAGAGCATGCAACTCTTGATCTCAAGGGTCGTGAGTTCAAGCCCCACATTGGGTATAGAGATTAAATAGATAGACAAACTAACTTAAAAAAAAAAATTGAAAACACATTTAGATTCCTGCTGATTGTTACAACTCAATTTTGAAAAAAATTGAAAAAAACTAAGCTTATTTACTCAGCATAAGTGTTGGTATATTATTTATGATATTTTCCTTTTGAAGTATATAATAGACCCTTTTGTCTGTATTAGATTTTTTGTCATTTTTGCCTAAATAAAATTTATTGCTACTTTTAAAATATAATAGCAATCAGGGCACCTGGGTGTCTCAGTTGGTTGAGTGTCCGACTTCCACTCAGGTCATGATCTCACACTTCGTGGGTTTGAGCCCTGTGTCGGGCTCTGTGCTGACACCTCAGAGCCTGGAGCCTGCTTAGGGTTCTGTGTCTCCCTTTCTCTGCCTCTCTCTTGCTTGTGCGCTCACTCGCTCTCTGTCTCTCTCTCAAAAATAAATAAACATTAAGAAAGAAAATTTAAAAAATAGTAAATAAAATATAATAGCAATAGGGGTGCCTTGGTAGCTCAGTCAGTTAAGCAACTGACTTTGGCTCAGGTCGTGGTCTCACGGTTGGTGGGTTTGAGTCCCATGTCGGGCTCGGTGCTGACAGCTCAGCCTTCTTTGGATTCTGTGTCTCCCTTTCTCTGCCCTGCGCTTGTTCGCTTTCTTTCTTTCTCAAAAATAAACATTAACAAAAATTAAAATGTATAGCAATATATATATTTGACAGAAGAGTCAGAAAATATAGTCCCTTTTTTTGTACATTTGTGCATTAAAAAAAATTAAAATGGGGGCGCCTGGGTGGCGCAGTCGGTTAAGCGTCCGACTTCAGCCAGGTCACGATCTCGCGGTCCGGGAGTTCGAGCCCTGCGTCAGGCTCTGGGCTGATGGCTCAGAGCCTGGAGCCTGCTTCAGATTCTGTCTCCCCCTCTCTCTCTGCCCCTCCCCCGTTCATGCTCTGTCTCTCTCTGTCCCAAAAATAAATAAACGTTGGAAAAAAAAAATTAAAAAAAAAATTAAAATGAGATCATACCACATGCACCGTTTTGTAACTTTTTGAAAAGTTTATTTGCAATTTAATATGGCATTTGTATAGGTCAATAGATTGTTTTCTGCAAACCATTTCTCTGGCTTTAGTATATTGAGTTTCATTTTTAAAGAAGAGCAATCAAATGTTAACCAATAACAGCTTTATAGTCTGTATTGTTGAAGAGTTCATGGGTCCTTTATCAAAGCGAGGTCATAGCTTTCTTCCTAAGTACATATATCAGTAAAGTTGAACACATTTGTGGGTAATTATTTGGAAAAGACAGATATTATTTGTGTCTTTTCAGGCTTACTGCAGTATATTGTATCTAAAGCCAAGAATGCAGATAATATTACGTGGACAGAAGGTGAAGACACAGCTGGTTTCAAAGAGTCTTGCCTACATTGAACGTGATGTTTATCGACCCAAGTTTTTAGTATCCTTTATCTTCCTTTTTATGACGCCATATAAAGACACATTAATAAAGTGTATTCCTCTTCCCCCTTTCTCCTTTTATTCTGGTATGGAGTCCTCTCCAACTGTGCCCTTTTTTATGCACTTTGGGATTCATTAAAAAATGACTTAGAAAGGATGATTTGAAGGAAGTAAGGTGGCATGTTCAGAATTTTCCTTAACATTTAAGACTAAAACAGTGAGAATTACATTTGGATTCAACTGCAGAAATAAAGACCATTATGGGATCATGATGTATCACAGAAATAGACTCATCAAAGCTTATGAAAAAGTTGGATGTCAGTTAAGGGTAAGCTGTAGATCTGAAAATATCTTTTGTAAAGTTAAAATACCATGTTACTGGGTCAAATGTGAAATAACATGCTTTGTGTAATAACTTTTAAGTGTCAGTGTGTTTAATGATGTTGGTATGGCACTTGAACTTAAAATACTTTTGTATTTCCCATTTGGTCCAAATAATCGTATGAGGGGGACAGAATATTTTATCTCTGTTTTACAGTTGAGGAAATTGGGGCCAATAAGTTAGGTAACTTGCCCAGACCTAAAATGAGTATGGATCTTAGGCCCGGATGCAGATCTTTTGACTGCATCTGGATATGGATCCGTGATTATTTCTGGGATGAAATTGGTTTTATTTAGTCCTGACTCAAATACCAGAAAAACAGGATCATATAGGTGAGTACTTCTCTGGAGTTAATTCCTAAATATATTAGGCCTTCCTCCTAAACCACTTCCGTGGTTGTAGAATTCAAGTTAGGTTGATGAACATTACCCACACTATGCTTGTTTGTTCATCCTTAAACATGTTTTCACAGAAAGGTTTTTTGGGGGTGTATGTGTTAAGAATTGAGTGATAAGTGCTGAAAATCAAGTTTGTTAAAGGTTTTATGTCTAGGCATATTTTGTTTTCCAGTTCTTCTATGGTTTTCATTTTCTGTTCATCTTATTTCATTCTAAATTCTTTGTAGAATGATGTGAGCTCTACACAGTATAATAGTGTGGGTTTATCTTCAATATTATGTAGTAAGGGTTGTAACTCTGTTACATGTTTTACATCGACACAAGTCCCGAATATAGCATTTTTGCAAAAGTAAATAAACTTTGTTGGGCTCTTCTTGGTAACCACTAATTTCAGTCAAAAAATAAATGTAGAGGGGCACCTGGGAGGCTCAGTCAGTTAAGCATCCAACTCTTGGTTTTGGTTCAGGTCATGATCTCATGGTTCATGGGATTGAGCCCCTTGTTGGGCTCTGTGTTGGAGCCTGCTTGGAATTCTCTCTCTCTCCACCCCCCCCCCCCCCCCGCCCCTTCCCCAGCTCATGCTGTCTCATTCTCAAAGAAATAAAACATTAAAAAATAAATAAATACAGAAATATGGCAACCATGATATGCAGTATCAATCACATTTAAAAAACTAATTTTCATTTATAATCCAACTAGTAATTTTCAACGGAAGTATTCTATAATTAAAGTCACTAAATTTCACTGGTAATTGGAAATTCATTTTTGGTAATAAGCCTTATTTCTCAGGTGCTTTGGTTTTCAAAAGAAACCGTGTATCTGTGACAGAATGTTAATTATTTTTTTCTTTTATCATTGATGAAATGACCAAAGTAAGGTACACAGCCCATTTTTCCAACCCAATTATGTTTGCATTGTTTATAATTTCTGGTTAAGCTTGACCTGGTAAAAAATAGGCTTTTACAGTCAACTTTTATTTTTCTCTACCAGGTGATGGATTTGCCTTATAGTATTTGCATTCTTTGAACTCAATAAACAGTTTTTATTTTTTTTATTTTTTTTTTTTTTTAAATTTTTTTTTTTTCAACGTTTATTTATTTTTGGGACAGAGAGAGACAGAGCATGAACGGGGGAGGGGCAGAGAGAGAGGGAGACACAGAATCGGAAACAGGCTCCAGGCTCTGAGCCATCAGCCCAGAGCCCGACGCGGGGCTCGAACTCACGGACCGCGAGATCGTGACCTGGCTGAAGTCGGACGCTTAACCGACTGCGCCACCCAGGCGCCCCTCAATAAACAGTTTTTAAATAGGTGTCAGATATTTGATAGGATTTGCCATGCTAGATGATCAGAATAAAAAGATGATAAGGTACAGAGCATGCTCTCAGAGCTCTTTCTGGTGAGGGGACTGTAGTACAAGTCGGAAGCATCAGAAGAAGCTTTTTGGAGAGCATGGTGATGGAGTCTTAGTTGATGTTATTGTGTTGAAAGTCTGGCAAGGGTTTCCCAGGCAGAGAAAAATATCTGCCCAGGAAGGGAAAGAGGCTTCTGAGAACATGACCTCAGTAAGGGAGTAGTTTGCTCTGCCTGGGGGCAGATGTTAAGTCACGAGAATAATGGGAGAGAGGCAAGAAGATGAGGCTCGAAAGGAGGCAAACAGGACCCACACATTGAAGGCTATTGTGGTTTACTGATCGAATGAGACAAACCACTGATGGTTTTGGTAGAGTGGGATTATGGTTAGTTTTGCATGGTTTCTTCTATAGTTGCTCTGTTTATGAACATTTTCGCTACGTAAGTTATATATTCTTCCACTTTTTCCTTTTGTAGACTCTGCTACAATTGTGAGTAAAATACACTTGCTGATCACACATAGGTAATCAGAATATGTGACTCATATACTTTGAGTTCAATATTTTAGCTAGTAGCATTTTTAAAATAACTTGACTTCAACTGACCTAGGTTTTTATTCCATCACCATTAACAACTAGATGTGTAACTTTGGATAAATGATTTTAATTTTTATCTAGTAAACTTTTGGCATATTATTGCTAGAGTCTTTGCTAGTCTTTGTGGATATAGAAAGGAGTTAGTTGTGGTTTCTGCTATGTAAGAAATACATCCCAGTAGAGGGGGTCTGTTTCTCTTGGATAAAATCGGGGGTAATACTTGTTTAAATGGATATTTGACAACAGTGAAAGTGTTTTGGAGGAAGGCTCTAATATATTTGGGAATTAACTTCTAGAAAAGTAAAATTATCTACGAGACACTACTTTTCAATTGAAATTTTCTAAGAATCATGACATAAAATGTAGAAAAATGTTTCGTACAAATTGTAAATCCTTGTGGAAGGGTAATCATGTTGAGTAGCATGTCTTATGCTTAAAACACTGATTTTATTTTCTTTTTCAGGCAAACAACATGGGTGTTGGAGTGGTGGGAATTATAGAGTGTAATTTCCTAAAGCCAACTCATAATAAACAAGATTTTGACTATACTAATGAGTACAGGTATGTTACCTATTTAAGTTACTGGTTTTTTACAGTTTTAGAAATACTGTCATAACTTTTCCTTAGCTGAATTTTTTTTTTTCTGTCTTGTGGATGTTTTTATAGCATAGAACTTTAAGGAAATTGATAGGTGAGAAGCATGGATAGAACACACATTTAACCATCTTCTCCCATCCTAGGAATTGTATTGTACTCCATCACAAGTAGGAATACATTCTCTCCTATCTTTATTGATGAAGTATTTCTGAGCTTTGTGGAAAATATAGAGGGTGTGCTTGCTTTCTTGGTGTCAGCATTTATTATGTAATGTCCTGACACTTTGTGCTTGTTAGTTGGGAACTGTAAGGTAATTTTGTGCTATGAGCCTTAGACAGAAATACTCTTATCTTTTAAGAGTGGTTAGAAGCCATAGGATGAATATGACCATCAATGGGACTTATAACTTTAGGAAGCACAGTTTTCCTGTTGAGCATATATAACGAAATAGAATGTAAACATAGGAACATTTGTGATAAAGATAATGCAACAGGCCCTTTATTCAAATAAATACAACAGAAATAAAACAGAAAGTGGAAGGAAGAAAATAATAAAGGTGAGAGCAAAATCAGTGAATTAGGAAACACACATATAGAAAATCAATACACATTCAGAATTCACTCCTGAGGCAGATCCTACTCCTGTTTTTTTTAATGAGGATAATTTAATCTAAGGATTATTAACTAAGATAGTACAGGGTGATTACCAGAAGGGGTAAAAGAGGACAACAGGTATCCAGAACTAGCAGATATGAAAGACGATTACCTCGTGGTTAGAAAAGAATAGACACGGGGCGCCTGGGTGGCTCAGTTGGTTAAGCGTCCGACTTCAGCTCAGGTCACGATCTTACAGTCTGTGAGTTCGAGCCCCGCGTCGGGCTCTGTGCTGACAGCTCAGAGCCTGGAGCCTGCTTCAGATTCTGTGTCTCCCTTTCTCTCTGCCCCTTCCCCACTCATGCTCTGTCTCTCTGTCTCAAAAATAAATAAAAACATTAAAAAATTTTTTTTTTAAAAAGAAAAGAATAGACAATAAAGGAACTAGGACAGGACCCCCCCCCGCCCCCAGCAGAGATTCAGACAAACACAGGAACAAGCTACCTGCCATGGTAAGAAACTTGATAGAAGGCCTGGCCAGCGCTGGTCTGTAGATGTGGTCCACTGTTGCCAGAGGGTGTGGGTGTGCTGGAGCTGTTCTGTAGAGGAGACCTGTCTTTGCCCAAGGATGTGGGCACACTGGAACTGGTCTTTGTTGCTGGAGGTCGTGGGCTGCTGGGGGCAGAGCATAGCTAGAGAACACAGCTTAGAGCCCCTCTGGGGGGCCACTGGACTCTAGTCAAACAATAACACCGCATACCAGAACATGAAGGACATGTGTCCTGCTATCATCATCTAGCAAGTTCATTGCCCTGTTAATCCAGTTTAACATTTTGCAGGCTGCCGAAGGATAAATATTTACACCATCAAGTTTTAGAATCAGAAATCTGAGCAAAGAAGACTGGATTTGAAGCTGAGAGACAAGTTCATAACAGAAAAAAATCAAAAAGCTCAAAGTTTGTTCTTTGATAAGAGTAGTAAAATCTATAAGCATCTGGCAATAAAAGGGAAAAAAAGAGAAAATAGCAATCATCACTATCAGAAATGGAAAGGAGGACATGACTACAGATCTATGGACACAAAAACATCAGAAGAATAAAAGAACAATTACTCACCATCTTAGATGAATCGGGTACATTCCTTTGAAATTAAATCAATTTTTAGAAAACTTACAACATACTATGAGGGCACATAACTTTGTTAGTCAACTCATGAATATATTACAAGAAGGGAAATTTATGTTGATTCCTCTCATTATCAAGATATAAAAATCTTAATTAAAATAATAGCAAATACCATCCAGTGATATATAGAAAAAGAAAAATTAATACATTAAAACCAGTTGGAGTATATTCCAAGATGACATGGGTAGTTTTAATATTCCAAAATCAATGCAGTTCACATGGATGTGAGAAAAGAAAACTCTCAGAGGTTATTTTCATAGCTAAGAAAAAGTACTTGATAAATCACAACACAAATTTGTAATTTAGAAAAAAAAAGGGACACTTACAAAACGATTAATGGAAGGGCATAGTAGCAATTAGGAGCATGTACACAGAACACCAAGCATCATTCCTACTGGTGAATTATTGATAGCTTTACCCTTAAGGGTGAAGATGAGACAAGGATATCTGCTATCCACCATTCTTGAATAATAAGGGAAGAAAAAGAAGTGAAAGTTACAAGGGTTGGAAAGGAAGAAATAAAACTTTCCTGTACAAGACAGTATTAAGTATATAGAAAGTCCAAAATAACCCACAAATTTAGAATTAATAAAGTAACAAGTTAAGTACTATGTAGTCTAGGGTTGCTGGATAAGAAGTATTCAGAAATGAGTGTATTTGTTTACCAATGACTAAAAACCAGAACATGAAATTTTTAAGAAGTCCTACTAAGTATCAAAAAAATCAAGTACTTGATTTTGGGATAAATAAAATATGCAATATACACATTGAAAACTATGAAATATTGTGGAGTAAAATTAAAGCCCTCAATGAGTAGATATACCAAGTTTAAGAGTTGGAAGGCTGAATATTATAAAATGTCAGTTTTTCTCCAAAATAATTAAATATAATTCCAGTTTTTAAAAAAAATCCCTGCCAGTATGTGTTGCTGTTGATATTAATAGGCTTATTCTAAACTTTATGTGGAAAGTCAGAAGAGTCAAGATACTTAAAGACAATCATTAAAGAACGACAAAGCAAGAAAACTTAATACTATTAAATACCAACACTTACAAAGCTGCCATTCACCAAGTGTGGTATTAATGAAAGGATGAACAGTCTACTGAAATGGAGAAGCCCAAAATAACCCCCCACTTTTTATACATTCGATGACCTGATTTATGACAAAGATTACATCATAGTGTAGTGGGAAAATGATCATCTTTCCAAAAATGCTGGGTCGATTGGCAGTTTGTATGGATAATATAGCTCCTGCCTCAGATGTAGCAATAAATTGATACCAGATGGACTTTAGACCTAAATGAGAAAGACAAAAACAGAAAATGGAAACAAGAAAGTTTTCAGAACCAGTAGTAAGCGGGTTTTTAAAATAAGATGCAAAAAGTATTGATCATAATGGGCAGAAATGGAAAAGTTACTTAAAATGAGTAAGAGCATGTAGGGCAGTTGGCACTCTCGTCATTGCTAGTGGGTATGAGAATTGATCAGTTTTGAAAACTGTTAGATTATCAAGTAGAGCCAAACATCAATGCACACCCCTGTGACCCCGCAGCTCCACTCCTCGGTGTATTCTCAGCAGAAATGGGTGCAGTCTTCTGGACTAAGGAATAGAGGTGATGAGAAAAAGGGACGAAGAGGGATTGAAAACATGAGATGTAGGGAGGGGATATATCTGGGAGAGAAGATTCATTTTCATTTGAATGCTTATGTGTTATGTGATCATGGAGGAAAATTTAGTGAGAGATAATGGTTGGGTATAGAAATATCTGATTCAGCCTGCCAGTGTAGAATATGAAATTTCAAATATCAAGTTTGAAAGCTTTATTTTAAAGCTTTTACAGCTTTCACTGTACCTTGTGAGTGAGTAGGTGCTGAACTCGGGTGATTGCTTAAGGATGGCCTTAGCGTTCTTTATCTCAGTAGATCCCATTGATTTGCTTTTTATTAACGTCTTACTGGGGAAGAACGGACAGTCTTAATTGTGGGACAGAAGCTATTTTGAAGTATACTTGCTGGTAACGATTGCCTACATGTATTCTGACTTGAAGCTTGTATTGGTTGGGGTTGGAATTCAGAGCCTGCGATTCTCCCACTAAGTGGTCTGCAGCAGATTTTCCCAACAGAGGACACAAAATATTACTATTTGTGTCTTCAAAGATGGTCCTGGCTCTGGCTCTGCTCTAGGAACTTTTTTTTTTTTTTTTTTTTAATGTTTGTTTATTTTTGAGAGAGAGAGAGTGTGAGCGGGAGAGGGGCCGAGAGAGGGAGACACAGAATTTAAAGCAGGCTCCGGGCTCTGAGCTGTCAGCACAGAGCCGGATGTGGGGCTCAAAATCACAAACCGCGGGATCATGACCTGAGCCGAAGTCGGACGCTTAACTGACTGAGCCACCCAGGAGCCCCTCTAGGAACTTCTTAATGTCCTTAAAGAAAATTGCCACAAGAGCCTTCTTTATTCACTGTACCTTTGGGAGTCATCATCCCTTCTCCCCCATAATGTCCACACAATCATTACTAGGTTGTTTGTGCTTTCTCTGTATTTTACATAAATGTAATCTTTATCTTTTTTTTGTTTTCTTAAATTGATTTTATGATTTTCTTTCTTAAGGCTGACAATAGCAGCACTAGGAGAAAAGCTGAATGATTACTGGAATGAAATGAAAGTCAAGAAAAATTCAGAATATCCTCTAAATTTGCCAGTTGAAGATATTCAGTACGTACATGAAAAAATGTCAACCATTCTAATATCAAGATGTGATATGGGGAGGGTATAGTGATTGTACAGTGTTCACAAACTTTTGACTAACCCATAGTCAGATGTAAGTTCTACAGCTCCAGTCAGCACACCATGAAATGAACCAATGAATATATACATTTATTACATCATGCACGCAAAAGATGCATGAAATAGTGTTTACCCAAATGTTACATGCTGATACTTATTTTAAAAATGCAAGTCTTGCCCCACTGTATTGATTTCATGATCCACTAATGGGTTGTACTCATCGTTTGAAAAACCTTCGTCTTGTGTAATAGGCTCATGAGTCTAAAGCAGACCTGAATTTCGATTGTAATTCTGCTTAAATAATGATGCAACATTGAACATATTACTTGGCCTCTTACAAGTTTACTTTTTCACTTATAAAATGGGAACATTTTAGTAACACTCATCTCCTAGAGTTATAAGACTTAAAAATATGCCACACAAGCTGGTAGCACACAGTACCAGCTCTATTTATGACTAAAACTGTGTACTGATGGAAAGATGACCAAGATGTGTAATGAAGAACAAAAAGATGCAATTCAGTGTATTAATTTCCCGTTTTATTTTTTTTAGTTTTTTAAGCATAGAAAATTCTGCCAGGGTTTAAAAAAATGAACAATGGTAGGTTCCTAAAATAAGAGACTTGTATTTACTTTATAAACTTCTAGATTATTTGAAGTTTATCTAACTATAAATGCATTTTTAAAAAACTAGATTTAAAAAGTGTTGGTAGAGGGGCACCTGGCTGACTCAGTCAGAAGGGTATGCAACTCTTGGTCTCGGGGTTGTGAGTTCAAGCCCCACGTGGGGTGTAGAGATTACTTAAGTAAAGAATACTTAAAATAAAAATAAAAAGTTATTGGCATTAAGGTGAAGTCTTCATTTTTTTTTTATTTAAAAAATACTATTTTTTAGATGTTTATTTATTAGAGAGTACAAGTGGGAGAGGAGCAGAGGAGAGAGGATCCCAAGCAGGCTCCCTGCTGATAGCACAGAGTCTGAGTTGGGGCTTGAACCCATAAATCGTGAGATCACGACCCGAGCCAAAATCAAGAGTCAGGTGTTTAACCAGACTGAGCCACCCAGGTGCCCCAGTCTTCATAGATTAAATGAATTGTTAATAAATAATTGTTAAATGTTAAATGAATACCTACATTATTCATAGGATCATTGCAATTTTCAAATGATAAAACTATGAAGCACTTTATAAAGTAAAAGAATATGCACGTAGATATTCAGAGATATGCTATAGTAGAGGCTAAAAATGTAATACAGTTATTAAAAATTGCTTAAGTTATAGTAATAGCTTGTCTGTTTTCTGTACTTCAGTGTTTTGTTGTGCTAATTAATATACTAGATTGGACATTGCAATTGCTAACTTAATATAAATTTCAAAACAAGGTGTTTGCAATATTTTGAGTTTTTATTATCAGAGAACAAATTGAATAGTATGCTCTTAAGTAGGACATTTAAGTCTCTCTTTTTTTTTTTAATCGTTTGTTTTTAAGAGAGAGAGCGTATATGTTTGTGTGTGCGCGTGCACCTTGTGTGCTGGCTAGCGGAGGAGGGGCAGAGAGAGAGGGGGAGACAAAGGATCCAAAGCGATCCAAAGCAGGCTGTATGCTGACAGCAGAGAGCCTGGTGCAGGGCTCAACCTCACGAGCCATGAAGTCATGACCTGTGCCAAAGTTGAGCGCTCAACTGACTGAGCCATGCAGGTGCCCCAGTCTGTTGAAATTGACCTGTTAGCTTTAATCTTTTGAAGGTAACAAAAATTGTTGGCTTAAAAATTTTAATTTGCTGTATGACAAGAATTATGTCATGGACATTTCGGGGACAAATTAAATAATCAAGGCATTTTGCTGTGGAAATGATGTAGAAGACCTAATGAAGTATACTTAGCATCCATATTTTCATGCTAATATTATGTTTTGTTACAGGAAACGTCCTGATCAGACATGGGTTCAATGTGATTCCTGTCTAAAGTGGCGAAAATTACCAGATGGAATAGATCAACTTCCAGAAAAATGGTATTGCTCCAATAACCCTGACCCACAGTTCAGGTACCATATAGTTGGTAGTACCCTTTTTGGAAAGGCAGAAAGTACTGTTCAAGATGTATGAATAGGCGCTGGTGACGTGTTATTCCCATGTGATTTTTCTGACTAGAAATTGTGATGTTCCAGAAGAACCCGAAGATGAAGATGTGGTGCATCCTACTTATGAAAAAACCTACAAAAAGAAGTGAGTGTTGAGCTAACGTACGGTAGGGAAATAATGCACAGGTTAGCACCAGCGATGGGTCTGCAGCATTAGTTGATGTTTCTCCAAGATCATGCTCGTACAACCCGAAGAAGACTATGACCCCCAAAAAGACTTTGCTGTGGATGCATAATATCGGGTGCTTTTTTTGGTTTGTTTTTTTTAACAGTATAGTGTGGATATCCACTCTTTTTTACCTGCTGTTTATTGCTGTCCTGTCTACAAGATAGTTTGCATACAGAATAGTTTGTCTTTTAGGGGTCACACACAGATGAATCATAGAGTACTGTCCAGTATGAGCTTAAGCCTTAATAGGGAAGGTGAGGCATGTACGTATTACTGACGAGAAGTTGACAAGTATCATAAAAGGCACGATCCAGTCCTGTTGGGAAGCCCATAAGGAGAGACGACCTCTCGCTGGGGATGGGAAGGGAAACCCAGATGAGGAAAATTCAAGGAGGACATTTGTATAATATGCCTTGAAGGACAGGTAGGATGAGAATGTATAGGAAACAGTGATTCGTTCGGCTTTAACTAGAGTAAATATGTGAATGGACACGATGGAAAATAGAGGTGGGAGGGAGAAGCTGGGTAATGAACGATAGCCCTGGTGAACTTCCGGCTAGTGTACCACACCCAGGGGCTGAGTTCATGCAGAACTTCCAGGTTTTGATATAGAGTGCACTGTTTTTGACGGTAAATCCAGCAGCAGAATTGGGAGTAAAGAAACCAGTTAGAAGCCAGTTGTGGTGTTCCCACTCAAAGGTCAGAATAATGCTGGTCAGGATGGAGAACTTGAGGCAGACATCAGGGCGTTACTGAGATAATAGGTGGAAAGTATTTCCTGCTTAAGGCTTACCACTGATGATAATGAAATTGAAGCAAAGTTCAGTGTACCTATTTGAGTGACTCAGGGAAATGGCAAGTATGTCAATGGGAAGCAATTGAAAAATAATAAATAAATTTACATACATTTTCATCTTTTTTTTTTTTTTTTTCTTTTTTTAAGAGACAAGGACAAATTCCGGATCCGACAACCAGAAATGATCCCTCGGGTAATGAATTAAGCCTTCCATTTTATAGCTGTGTCTTATGTTGGGTAGTGGTTAGTTTAGCACACATTGAGTGTGAAAGCTTGCTATTAAAGCTGTTACACAACAAATTGAAGTGGTTGTGTTCATTCATTCATTTCACATAACTCCTTTTATTACACCCCTCCTTCCTAACCCAACGACTTGATTCAAACTGTTCAGTTTTGTTATTTTGTGGGGCATCTTCTGAGGAAAGGCAAGTGGTTAAGAATCTTACTGTTCCATAGGCAGTCAGGGAAACTTCCCAGGAAGCCCTGGGGAGCCATGTTCTAATACCAACCTGGAGCGCTACAGTGTTTCTTTCTCTTTGTTGACCACTCTTCCTGGCCCTTCCATCTCTTTCTCCGTGCTTAATGGTGGTTAAGGAGCGTTTTATGAGTATGTGGGTAGGGCGCTGTGCTTCTTGTGTAAGAGGCTTTGGTCTGCTGCAGAATTGTATGTTTGCTTTTGATTGCATTGAAATATTTTCTTATGTAAAGGATGAGGGTTTGGAGGTGACAACAGAACTGGGCGAAAAGAATAGTGGGCTTACTTATTCTAAAGGCAGTATCTTTGACTTTATCTTCAGTTTATTTCTCTTAGAAAACTTAATTTCTACTTGTGTCTTGACAAGTCCTATATTAGTACAAGGTCGGCAAATCTTGCTGTAAAAGGCCAGATAGTAAGTATTTTAGGCTTTGTGGGCCACATACAGTCTCTGTTATGTGTTCTTTGTTTTGTTCACACCTTTAAAAATGCAAAACCATTCTTTGGCTGGATTTGGCTTATTGGCCTGTTTGTTGTTCCCTGGTGTGGCATAAAGAATTTACATGGTTAGGATGGTTCTTAGTGTTTCCTGGGATAAGGGGAGAAGGGAAAATAATATCTCATGTTTTGGGCTTGGCATGTTAAAAAAGCCCTTTTAAGATCACATTTTTTCCTTCCAACAGATTAATGCTGAACTCTTGTTTCGGACACCCACCGTGTCAAGTCAGAGCTTTTCTCCCGTGAAGGAAAGTGTTCCAAGAGGACATCTTTCAGAAGTGGCAAATACATATACAACAAGACTTCTAAACAACCATCGAGGTTCACCCCAGTCGGAACCCGAGAGCAACAAGTCAGTGGTTAAAATGCGCTTTTCCATTTGGGGAATGAATACTAAACAGAGCCTTCACTTGACGTTGTGTGGCAATAATGCCCTTCTGAGAAGCTGTAGTTCCGTGCATGTAAGAAGTCTTAGGGATAAGTTAATTTGCTTTTTTGTCTAAACAAAACCCCCACCCCACTTATGCCACCTATTTAAAATAATTTTTAAAATATCAGTTGTATTCGTTGTGGATTTGATTGAATTTTCACCTCTTTCAAATTCTATATAGTATGAAAGTTCCTGCTTTTAGAATTACCAGTATTTAAGAAAAACATGAAGTAGTTAATAGTATATGACACTATAATGTCAGGTGTGACCTGTAAGTTCTTAGCTCGTGGCAAGCTGTGTATGTTGGATGAGTGGATGGAGAGGGAGAGAGAAAGAAATGTATGAGTGATATGTAAATTGAACAGTTAGGTCTCTTGACTGGTCAGGAAAGGCTTTGTAATGAGATACAGTACTTGGTTCCTGAAATTCTAAAAGCAGTTCTCTGTGCAGGTGGCCCATTCAGAGGGAATAGAATGAACACAGGTGAGGAAGAAAACAGGATACCAACAAACTAGGGCATCAGACTGACTGTATTATACTTGGTCTTTTGTTGGAAAACCAACATTGAAAGGAGGTTCTCTGAGATAGCGGGATGGGATTTTCTGAGAGGTTTTATTGCCTTCATTAAATCCTCAGGGATTTTTGACCTCCAAAAAGATTAGAAAGTATTGCTTTTATGCGTATATACATCAGGAGGGCATGTTCTAAAATAGTTTGCTGTTTGTAGCCTACATTTTAGAGGCGTATTTGGGGGCTGGGTTGCTACTTAACTAAGAACTTGTGTGAATTTTTTTTTGTAACTAGTCTCCTTAATATTTTTGACTTTTCTTCTTAAAGATGGTTCCAAACAAAGTAAGAAAAAACAATATCTGTAAAGCTTACAGACAAAAGATAATGGAAGTTATTCTTTAAAGTGATTTATTCCATCCAAGTAGAAGAAGAGAATAGAAATTTTTCATTAATTTTTAAAGCCTGAAGAATTTGCAATTTGAGTTTGAGAAAAACAGAAGCTTTAAGAATAAAGCCAAAGACTGTGGAAAGGTGGTACCGAAACTGAATCTTAAGAAAGATAAATAGCAATTAGCCTGGTAAGAAAAATAGGGCAGCTCCCAGTTAAATGATTAACTCCATGGAAGCCCAGGCATGCTCTAAACTCAGAAGCATCGAGTACTTGTTAAGGTAGAAAATGGGTGAGTACAGGAGGCTTATTTGAGAGTTTAAGGAAGAGTCGTTCTCTAGACCTCTTCACAACCTGCTGAGTCTGTTGACGTGACTTCTCTGTCAGAAGGCAAGACATTTTCTTTTTGGGCCAGTTTCACTGCTGACAGTGTGGGGGAACCACTCTTCTGAAACAGGAGGGGTAAGGGAACATTTGAATACTAAATGGTAAGAAATCCCCCTTCCTTCTTCCCCTCTTCAGGCTCCCAAGAGAAAAGCCCTAGACGGTGCTGAGAGTTGGAGCACGCTTGGAATCACAGGGCCAGCCCTCACTGCTTCCATTCAGCCTCACTCTGAAACATAGAGATAGGCAGGGATCACCACATGTACCAACTGAAACAAAGGGAGTAGCAGAAACCTTTGGAATTTACTGGGAGGTGGGTAGGTGTTGAACAGACACATACTTAGAAAAGATAAGCAGGTAGAGGGTAGAAAAAGGAAAAGACAAGATACAGGAGGGCCAATGTCTCAATAAAGGAATTTCAGACTGGGAAATCGGAGAAAACCAAGGGGAGGAAGTAGCATGAGACTTAACTTCCACCAAATACTCAGCAAAAATGTCTGGGGAAAGATCCATTCTGGGGCATCTGAGTGGTTCTGTCGGTTAAGCGTCCGACTTTGGCTCAGGTCATGATCTCACAATTGGTGAGCTCGAGCCCCACGTTGGGCTCTGTCCTGACAGTGTGGCGCCTAGAGCTTGCTTCGAGTTGTGTCTCCCTCTCTCTCTACCTCTCTCCTGCTCATACTGTCTCTCTCTCTCTCTCTTTCAAAAATGAAGAAACGTAAAAGAAAAAAAAAAGAAAAAGATCTATTCTAAGAAACATCATGAAATTTTAGAACACAAGGGAAAATAATTTTTTTCGGGAGGGGAAAACACAAGTTACCTGCTAAAAGATCAGGAATTAGAATGGCAGGAACACTGAATGGTACATGATCCTGGAATGATGCTTTATAAAAACCAAGCAGGCCATAAAATTGAGAAGTGAGTAAAGATACTTTTCAGGATGTAAAGTTTTATATTTTTTATGTCCTGTGTACCCTTTCTCAAGATTTTATTGGAGATTGTGCCCCCTTGCCATGAGAGAGTAAAGCCAAGCAGAAGAAGAACCTTTCTTGAGATGGAGAAATATGAGGGCTAACACATAGGACCCAAACAGCAAACCAGGACAGATATCACTCTAAGGGGGGAAAAAGACAATCAGTTGGAGGTAAATTCAAAGAAAACCAAGCTGATGAGCAAAATGAGGTGATTTTTACTGCAGGGGAAGTGGAAGGATAGGGTATGCTGGTTTAGTTGGTGTGGCTCCCCTCTGATTACTGAACACTGGTAAAAATTACAGTGAGCGAACGGGAATGGTGCAGAGCCGAGAGCTCGCTCGGATACAAAGAATAGACCTGGCTGGGTTGCGGAGCTCCGTTTTGGGCGTGGATATGTTGAAATGCCCAGAGACATCAAATGAAGGGATGTTTGGCAGTATGTAGAGCTGGTACTTGAAAGCAGCCTCAGTAGTCTAATTGTTTCCTCCACTGTGTAAGGAGAAAATCCTCTTCATCAAATCATCGAGGAGTACTGTGTCATTTTTTTAAACGAGCACGGACATTTCTTAGAATTTTAAGATCGTTAGATTGCTTCAAGGTCATCTGTTTTGTTCATTTCTATATTGTATAGTCTTATATTTTCTATATAAAATGTTTTCCAGCCTGAAACGGAGACTTTCTACTCGTTCGTCAATTCTGAACTCCAAGACTCGGAGATTGAGTAATCAAGCATTTGAAAATTCAGCTTATAAAGATGATGACGATGAAGATGTCATCATCTTGGAAGAAAACAGTACTCCCAAACCTGCAGTAGATCATGATGTTGAAGTGAAATCAGAACAGAGTCACATGGAGCACAGTGGCCTGCAGGTGGAGCCTGTGGCCGAGAAGGAGCCTTGTGGCCAGACTAGCTCATCGGGCGCCTCGTCATCCCGGTGTGATCAGGGAACTACTGCGGCCACCCAGACTGAAGTCCCGGGTGTAGTTGTTAAAAAGGAGGAAACCCTTGAAGATGACATAGATGCCAGAAATGACGCGGCTGCGCTGCCCTCCTGTGTGGAAGCTGAAGGCAAAACACAGGACACCCAGGAAGCCTTTGATAAATCTGCGGCTGATGCTGGTTGCCAGTTAAATGAACTGAGAAATGAGCTGCTTCTAGTGACCCAAGAAAAAGAAAATTATAAGAGACAGTGTAATGCGTTCACTGACCAAATCAAAGGGTTACAACAGAGGATACTGGAACTGAACGACAAATACGTGAAGAAGGAGACGTGCCATCAGTCTACCGAAACTGATGCTGTGTTTTTACTTGAAAGTATTAATGGCAAATCTGAAAGTCCGGACCACGTGGTGTCTCAGTATCGGCAAGCTTTGGAAGAAATAGAAAGGCTGAAGAAACAGTGTAGTGCTCTGCAACACGTAAAGGCCGAGTGCAGTCAGTGTTCCAACAGTGAGAGCAAAAGTGAAGTGGACGAAATGGTTGTGCAGCTGGATGACGTGTTTAGACAGCTGGACAAGTGCACTGCGGAGAGGGACCAGTATAAAAGTGAGGTGAGTGTGTCAGCCAGCGTGGTAAGAGTCATGGGAGTCCCCGGGCATCTAAAGCATAAAGAGCTGCCAGTGGCTAGATTAGAATAGATTACGTAACAACCTGTTTATTGACTCTGCTCCCCCACTGCTTCTCAGCTGGGGAGGCGGTCCTGGGGGGCATATGGACACGTGTGTTGAGGAGATGGGCATTACGGGAATTTTAACGTAGTGACAGGTATGGTAAATTTACTATAGGGTACTGGAAATTTCTAGATAATGAAGGATTGTCCTGCTCAGAATACCGTTCTCCTTCCCATTGAGGCACTCAGTTACTAAATATAGGGAACTTCACATCCATTATTAACAGGCCTTGCAAAAACCACACAAGGTGGATGATGTCCTCATTTTATAGAGACAGCCTGTATTAGTTACGATCGGGTCTGCCGGCAGGAGACGGAGACGAACATCCAACTGGCGGTTCCGCAGGCCTCAGAGACAGCAGGCTCCTACGTTGTTGCTTCGCTTCTCCGCATGCCGTTATGGTCGGAGGTGGCCCTCCGGGTCCAGTCCTCATGTATCTACATTCCAAGCAGCAGGACAGAGGAGGGGTGTGGTCCCTGAAAGTCGCTTCCGTTCCACCTGTCAGAACTTAGCCACCTGGCTAATGGGCGCCTTGGAACTGTAGTCTTTATTCAGGGGTTCCTTTACTGAAGGAGAAGGAGAAAAATGGTAGGTGTCAGGCGTCAAGTAGTAGCCTCTGTGTGTACTCTCCATTCAAATTTGGGTCGCTTCTTCCAAAAACAAGTATTTTACGTATCCTGTTAACGTGGCGTTTGAAAGAAGGGTTTTTCTGCGAAGAATTTGGAAACAGCAGTGTGCTGCTCTTCTGCCCCCTCTTCCTGGAAATAATGCGGACGTAACAGCTCATCTGAACATTCATCTTGATGTATTGGCTTGGAGCCAGATGACAAAATATATAAAAATCAATGTAAGCTTTCTGTTGTAGCGTCCAGCTGGTGAGTGTGTGCAAGAAATGAGAGCCACTTCGGTATTGTTTCCAGTGTGACGAAATGTCGAGGTGACACCAAACAGAGGAAGCTTTTTTTTTTCTGTGGGGTTTTTGCCCTTTTTTGATGGTAATGTTCATCACTCAGGTTTTCTACATGTCTTAGCTTAAATTTGCACTTTGGCATTAGTTCTAAATTTTACACTCAATAAATTTTTTTTTTTGTCAGGTTGAATTATTGGAAATGGAAAAATCACAAATGCGTTCACAATGTGAAGAACTGAAAACTGAAATTGAACAATTAAAATCCACAAATCACCAGTTAGGAGCAGATGTTTCAACTTCAAGTAACATTGAGGAGTCTGTAAATTATACTGACGGGGAAAGGTAATAGTACACCAGGCATTCCTCTGGGGCGGCCCGCGTGGTTAGCGTGATATTTATTTGCAAGCACACATCAGACAGATACTGTTCAATCAAAAGAAGTACACATCCTCATCCTTCCCTTCTAGGAAAGAACAGTGGAAGTTCAGCTTAAGAGACACAGGAATTTGGGAGGAATAAATAAAGCACGGGTGGTTGGTTAGAGTGGTTTGGAATGCTGTTTGGGGAAAAGTGGAAATTGAGTTAGCTATCACAGAAGAGGGTGGATTTGGCCATGACTAAAAGACAAGGGACTATTTCGTGAAACTTACTTTTTCACCTGGATTTCTTTTACTTTTGTTCTTGGCCCCATTTCTTTATGGTTTGCTGTCCTCATTTTACTCTGTGACCTCCCAATCTTAACTTTTAGGTAATCACAAAGTTACTAAAAATTGCCATAGTTCAGGTGGTTAGTAGGAAGAAGTCTTCTGTGGAAATAAGAAAATAGTAAATGAACGGTTACCCTATGGGCTTGGGGTTTTGTTTCAGTGTTGAGAGTAGGGGAGGCAGACGTTCAGGTGGGCAAGGGTGATGGTGCTGCTGATGTGTTGATGTCTTACCATCTGAAAGTAGCTGTTAGGGCCCAAACTGGGCAACTCTTCCTGCTAATACAGAATGACTGCAGACTGAAAAGGCACTGTTGAGAAATGATCTCCCGCCATCGTCTCTTGACATCAGTTATATTATTACCTTGTTTTTTAACTTAAGTTTTTGAAGGATTTCAGTAAATCTGTTCATACACATGGAGCAGAGCAGTACAGAAAAGCCTGGAGGGCTAAGGCTCAGAAGCGATGTTTCTGGGAACCCCAGGCATCTGTGGTGCTTGTAGAAATGCAGATCCTTGGACTGCAGTGTACTTTATTTAATTGGAAACTTTTTTTCTTAATGTTTATTTATTTTCCAGAGAGAGAGAGAGAGAGAGAGAGAATCCCAATTAGGCTTCGTGCTGTTAGCACAGAGCCTGATGCGGGACTTGAACTCATGAACCGTAAGATCATGACCTGAACCGAAATCAAAGAGTCGGACGCTTGCTGAGCCATCCAGGCGCCCCTAAACTTTTGGAAACTTCTTTAGAAATTTTTAAGCAATCTCTAAGATGGTTCTCTTGCACACTGATCTTTGAGTAACTGATGATCTTTGATCTTTTATTTTTTATTTACTTTTTTTTTAACTGATCTTTTAAACCTGTGCTTTCCAAAATAGTATAGGTATATACTACTTGAAATTTAGCTAGTCTGAATTGAGATGTGCTTTAAGTATAGAATAAAAAATAAAATTTTGGGGTGCCTGGGTGGCTCAGTCGGTTGAGCGACCGACTTCGGCTCGGGTCATGATCTCACGGTTTGTGAGTTCGAGCCCCGTGTCGGACTCTGTGCTGACAGCTCAGAGTCTGGAGCCTGCTTCTGATTCTGTGTCTCCCTCTCTCTCTGCCCCTCCCCCACTCATGCTCTGTCTCTCTCTGTCTCAGAAACAAATAAACATAAATAAATAAAATAAAATTTTGAAGCTTTAGTATGAAAAAGGAAAAGGATGTAAAATACCTTATTAATAACATATTTTGAGGGGTGCCTGGGCGGCTCAGTTGGTTGTGTGTCCAACTTCAGCTCAGGGTGTGATCTCACAGTTCATGAGTTCGAGCCCCATGTTGGGCTCGCTGCTGTCATTGTGGAGCCTGCTTCAGATCTTCTGTCCCTCCTCTCTGTCTGCCCCACTCCCCCACCCCCTGCTCACGCTCACTGTCCCCAAAACAAAATAAACATCAAAAAAAAAAAAATAATGTACTTTGATTATGTGATGAAATAATATTTTAGTTACATTGGGTTACATGTAGAACTACAGTTAAGTTTACAGTCGCATTTTACTTTTTACTTTGGCTATTTGAACATTTTAAATTGCGTATGGAGTTCAGAATCTTTCTCTTGGACAGTGCTGTTCTGTACACTAAAAATAAGAATCTGTGGCATGTCCGGTGGACAGGAGGAATCAGCCAGGGATGATCAAAAGACTTAAAGAAAAGGACATGTAAGAGGTCACTGGGTCCTACTAGTCTTTTGCCAACTTTTCATGTAGATAAAAAGTTGTGGTTGTGATAAAGAGGATATTCTTGGTAAGGATATAGAATGGTTAATAACTTCTGAAAAGCAAAGCAGAAACGCGTTTGAACCATGGGCCTCCGATCGAAGATGAGTGGGGAAGCTTGGACAAAAAATGGTTGGCGTGGGAATGGTGTAAAATTTTGTCTAAGGACCAACAGAACCTTACCCTGTAAGCTCACAAAACATGCTTAAAATCACATTTCTGTGCATTGTCAACCCAAGGATGAGTATCTTGACTCTTCAGAGATTTCCACCTTAGGTCAGTATCTTAAGTAAATGTGGGCTGCCTTCATTTGGGAGGGGGAGGGGGACAGAATAAGAGCAACTGTAACATTCAGGCCCTTGGTTTCACTCAGTCTTTTGAAGCAAAGGCTGCTGAATAATTGTAGGTATTTAAAGTCTAGGATGTTGATATTCAGATATGTGTATTTCATTTGGAAGGAATGATAATGATCATCTAATCCAGAGATTCCCAGTATTTTTAGCAAAACACCATTCCCTATAAATGCATAGTAAAATGGGCAGCCTGTGAACTTTAGCGTATGAAAGGTCCAGGGAGGTCCTGCATCTAAAAAAACTTGTTTAACATTATTTAGCCCAAAGTTTTGTGAGCTTATGACCCCTTGAACCATTTCCTTTTCCTCTTACACAAGGACGGTATCTCATAGAAATGTTTTAGAGAACAAATCCGTTTTTATTTTCCTCACAAGCTGAAATTCAGAGATGCATTCTTTTTTTTTTTAAGTTTATTTATTTATTTTTGAGAGCGAGAGAGAGAGAGAGAGAGAGAGGGCACGAGCTGGGGAAGGGCAGGGAGAATCCCAAGCAGAGAGCCCCTTGATGAGGGGCTGGATCTCACCAGCCCTGAGATCATGACCTGAACTGAAATCAAGAGTCAGTTGCTTAACTGACTGAGCCACCCAGGTGCCCCCTAAGAGATGCATTCTATTCTTAGACCAGCGTTCTCACTAGTATACCCCTACTGTTTTCCAGGTGATAATATTTTATATTATAAGTAACATCTTGCAATTAAATGTATTTCACCAGTCCATGTTTTCTTCAGCTGCAAATTAAAATCGTATTAGTTGGAACCAGAGCCACTAGTTTTATGAAACACTCTACTTACCAAGAGATGAGTACTTATGTATTAAATTATTAAGTTAAGCGACTTCATGTATCACTTAAATTTTAGGCTCTATGTGAATATTAAACTGTGGTAGGACGTTCATCTAATAGATGTAATATTTCTATTTGCAGCCTCAAACTTCGATCTCTTCGAGTTAACGTAGGACAGCTGTTGGCCATGATTGTACCTGATCTCGATCTTCAGCAAGTGAATTACGATGTTGATGTGGTTGATGAAATTTTAGGGCAAGTTGTCGAACAAATGAGTGAAATCAGTAGTACCTAAGGTATATTTTATGTGAGATAATAAAAATATTTGCTTAATCTTTTTGGTTGTACAGCTTTCAAAATGTAAACAATTTTGTTTTATAGATATGATAGGTAACAGACTGAAGAACCATAATCTCTACTGTATTCTATGCATTCAAGTGTGGTCACAAATACTGTGGACACATTATCACACCTTTTGAAATGCCTGTGAATCATTGGTACTGAGCAGCTGAATAGCTAACTCAAGATTCGGTTTTGAAATGTAAATATTTGTAATTAAGTCTGCACATATTTTTTTATTCCCCTAGAGGACTTCAGTGTTTTTCGCCAAGAGCTCTTCAGGTTGCCCCTAGCCTTTGTGCAATCTTTTCTGGTTCCCAAAGTATTTTTCTCTGAAGCGAGGGCTGTGCCATACTACAGATGGAAATGTTACCTTTGGTTTTCTTACGGAGAAGTTTAAACAGGATTTTTTTAAAAATGGAATTATACTCCTGATAAGAGAAGTTGTAAGTGAATTGACCCGTAATGTTTCTTTTCTATAAATTCTTATCTCCTGAAATATTTTATTCATGGAAATAAGGTAAGCAGAAACTCTCCATCCATTTTGCCAGGATTTTCCTTGTGTCAGGACTGCCAATCATGGTTAAATGCAGTGTTTTTATAGAACAAAGAAATGATCTTCAGTATAAAAAAGTATCAAAAATATTAAATGTCCCACCACATTTACTTTGAAGCCCATTTTTGGCTGCCTAGTCAGCATGGAGTGGGCACAATAATTGTTGAATATTTCTTTTTGTGAAATTTCCTGTACAGCCTTATGTAGGATTACTACAGGTTAATGAGAGTTGAGGAAGACAATCTTTCTCAAACAGAACAGCATACCTTTCATTATATTACAGACCTAGGTGTTTTATATGTCTTGGAGGTAAGCAGAAAACTGCCCTAGGATTATAGTATTACATGCCATAAAAATTAATGCTTTATTGGTCCCATGTTTGTGCAATTTTAAAGAGATGGCTTTCTATTAAGTATAACTATGTATATATTAATTAAGAATCGTATTTTCCACAACGGAAATGTGCATTATTTTTTTTCAAAGTTTTATCATTGCTATTTATTTTTACTTTTGTTTCTGAACATTCAATACATGTTTCTTTTGTATGTATGCTTAATTACATGTCTTTCATATACAATATTAAATTTTTACTGTACATTAACTTCTAAAAAAAGCAAATAAATGAAAGTTGTTTTTATTTGCTTGATAAAGTAATTGAAAGTGTATTTTTGGTATGAAGCTGGTTTTCTGTCCTAATTGTATCTGCCCAAATTTTAAAATATCTTGTAATAAAGTAAATATATATATATATATATATGATAGCTAACTCTTCAGATACTACTTTTAAAGAATTCTATATTCAGATTATATTTTGGAAACTAAAACTCATTGAAGACCCTCAAGTTGAGCTCATTTTACTATATTAATTACAAGTTCTGTTTAGGAGACTAAGACTGTTTCCATTAAGACTCTAAAGACTGAGCTCATCTTGAGAAAATGCGTGAGTGCGTGCGTATGTATGTGTATTTTACACTCGAGAAGAGACTTTTTCCTCTGTAAATCATTTAGGCTAAAGAAATCTTGCTTAAGTGATAGCAATGTAGAGCATGTCTAAGTTTGTGAATATTTATGTAGCAGTTCTTTCTGGAATTTGCTATTTTCCCCTTCTTTGGGTCAGCTATATTCTTGCAAAAATATATATTTTATATGGCTGTTATCTTGCTTAATGGGAAAGTTAGGCATAGGATTAGTAAATTTGCTTGCTAAATTGGTTCTTTGGAAGTACTTACATATATTTCACCTTTTAAGCAAATATTGCCAGGATACAATTCTTTGAAAATGTAGCTAACAAAATTTAACAAAACAACAACATGGGTTTTCATGTATATATCATATTTAGGTAGAGGTGTCTGTCTTCTGTTGTTAAGTTAAATTTGTAAAAGGCTAATGTGGGAGGACAGTGGTGTTTAAACTAGTTACTACTGTAAAACAAAAACAGTATGAGGAAGTAAACCAGCACAGTCCACAATCCCTATAAACAGGACCCGCTTTAATTAGCTAAGTGTTCACACAGCAGGACTGGTGTGTGGCATATCAGTGTGTTTTTTATTTGGGCCTCAAATTCCTAATGTGGGCGGTACTGCTGGTGACTCTGCCCATGGTCTCAAGACACTTAATTCTTGTAATCAGCAGCTCGTTAGGTCATTATTTGTCATTGAAGAATAATTAAATACATCTGGTGGTTCTCACCCCTTCCCCCCCCCCCAGGTGCATATTAGAATCACCTGGGGAGTTTTTAGAAATCCCAATGCAAGGATGCACCCCATACTAATTCAGAGTCTGGGTTTGGGCCCAGATATCAGGTTTGTTTTTTGTGTTTTTTGTTTTTTTAAGGCCTCTCTGTGTGCCGTCAGAACTGAGAACCATTGATCTATACCTTCCTGTGGTGAGTGTTTACAGGTGTTGAACTCAGTTCGTTCCTGAAACAAACTCAGGATTGGCAGGGCTACTTTCTCACTGGGTCGAGCCAGGAGGGAGAAAAAGAAGCAGAGATGGCGCCCAAGTTAGAAATGTAAATGGAACAGAATGGGATCAAGTGGAAAGGCTTTTACCCACTGCTTCCCCAAAGTTAACCACGGTTGCTTTTTGTAGGTCCTTCCAGAAAATATTAGCTGCATACATATACACATTCATATATATGCATTCAGTTTATATTAAATTTTTATATCTTTATATTTGATTATATATTTGTATCTCAAGTTTACACAAAGATGGTACACCAGATAATTGGTATCTTAACATTTCCATGTTACTTTTTTGAACAGGTTTGGTAACATTCTGTGATCTGCATATGCTCCTAATGCTCATTTATTTCTCATGTTTTGACATTACAGAATATACTGTGGAAGTTAATACACACCACACACACTTTTATAAGTATACCCAGAGTGTAAATTCTTTGCAGTGAATATTGATAGGTCAAAGAGTGTATGCTATGTAACTTTTAATAAATGTTACCATCCAAAAAGGAATTTAAACTCCTATGAAAAATAAATGTATAAGTGTGTTTTTTTCCCTCTCTTTCCTCATCAAACTTAAATCTGGTCTGTGAAAAAATGACAGCTTGCATTGTCTCAGGTTGAACATGCTCTAGTATGTTTTATTGACCATTGTAATTTCTTTTCCTACGTACTACGGCATATTGTTTGACCATTCTTTTCTGTTGGGCTCTTTGTTTTACTGCTTTTAAAACTTTTTTTTTCAGTGTGTGTTTATTGTTGAGAGAGAGACCGCACACATGCATGGAGGTGGGGGGGGGGCAGAGAGAGAGGGTTAAAGAAGTGGTTTTTACAAAAGCTAAAAGCCTGGTTAATGTGGCCACAGACACCACCCAGACAGCTAACTTTTGGAAAATCCACAGTAGGCTAAATCTTATTTTGTACAGGGTCTCCTAAACCCTCACTGGGGGGAGTGACAGACACACTGGATGGCCACAGCTCAAAAAGAATGCCATTAATACCCACTTGGTGTAAAGAAAGACATCTAGATGTATGATGTTTAGAATTAAATTTCGTGATCACAAAGTTAATTTCCATATTCTGGCCTGTAGGGAGAAAGTCAAGACCAAAGGAGACAGAGTATTGGTAAATCAAGCCATTCAGATAAGGTGAAGGTATTAAATGAGCCCAGTCACAGAGGATGAATGAGCGGTTCTAAAACTGGAATGTGGATCAAAAATACTAACTCGTTAAGGTTTTTTGTTTTTTTTGTTTTTTTTCTGCAGAAAAATACACATAAAATTTGTCATTTGACGATTTGTTAAATGTATGAGTTGCATTAAGTACATTCACTGTACTCCCACCCCCGGTAACACCTATTTTCTACCTCTGAATTTGCTTATTCTAGGTATCTCATAGCAGTGGAATCAAAAATTTGTCTTTTTGTGTCTGGCTTATTTCACTTTGCATAACCTTTTAAAGGTTCGTCCTTGTTGTTGCATATATCAATTTCATTGCTATTTAAGGCTGAATAGTCCATTGTATGTGCGTACCACATTTTGATACCCATTTATCTGTCTATGGACATTTGTGGTGGTTTCTTTCACCTTTTTACTATGAAGAATAATGCTGCTCTGGACATTGTTTCCTAAGTATCTACTTGAGTCCTTGCTTTCAGTTCTTTGGGATAACATACCTAAGAGTGGAATTGACGAATTATGTGGTAATTATGCAGGTGTTTGAGGAATTGCCAAACTATTTTCACAAAGACACACCGTTTCACATAATAGCCAGCAGTGCAGAAGTGTTCCAATTTTTTCACATTCTCTACAACACTGTAGTTTTCTGAGTTTTTTGTTTGTTTTTTTAATTAGCCATCTAATGAGGGTGAGGGGTTATTGTGGTTTTGATTTGCGTTTCTCTAATGGCTAGTGATGTTCATGTGTTTACTGGCCAATTTGTATATTTTTGGAGAAATACCTGTTCACGTCTTCTGCCCATTTTTACTTTGGGTTGTTTATATTTTGATATTGATTTGCAGGATATGATTTTTTTTAAAATTCTGGATATTACTCCTTATCAGATATATGATTTGCCAGTATTTTCTCCCATTCTATGTGTTGTCTTTCCACTCTTGAGTTTTTAATTTTGGTGAAGTTGAATTTATTTTCTTGCCTGTGCTTTTGGCATCATACCCAAGAAACCCTTGACTAATCCAATGTCATGAAGATTTTCTTCTGAGAGTTTTATAGTTTTAGTTCTTATATTGACGTCTCTAATCCATTTTGAATTAGTTTTTGCATATGGTGTAAGATTCCAACTTCGTTCTTGTGCATGTGGGCATCCAGTTTTTCCAGTAACATTTTTTGAAGAAGACTATCTTTTCCCCATTGAATAGTCTTCTCATCTTTGTCAAAAATCGATTGACCACATAAGTGAGGGTTTATTTCTGGGCTCTGTATT